GTAATTTCGCGGAATCGATTAAATGAGAACGTCTCTGTTGTAATTGATGATGAGACTATTGATCGCGTTCAGGAGATTAAATATCTTGGCGTGATTATTGATGATAAACTTAAGTTCAACTCTCACATTGACAATGTCATCAAAAAAAATTGCCAAGAAGTATGTAATTCTATGTCGATTGAAAAACCGATTAAAACTATTGCCAGTAAAATACAGATATACAAATCAATCATCTCTCCTCATGAAGACTTTTGCCCATCCATTTTATTTCTGTCCAATGCAACACAAATATCGAGATTACAGCGCTTGAAGAATAAAATAATGCGTTTGATTTTGAGATGTAATAGATTCACTTCCTCAACTTTGATGCTAGACGCTTTACAATGGTTGTCGGTGAAGCAAAGAATTGTATATTTGACTATGGTGTTCATTTTTAAAGTAGTTAACGGTTTGCTGTCTCGATCTTTGTGTGATCGAATTGAAAGAGGAAGTGACTATCATATATAAATAATACTAGAAACGCGGATGAAATAAGAACACCACATTTCTTGACTTGTGTTTCACAGAATTCATTATTTTTTAAAGGAATAAATGTTTTCAATTCGATGCCTAGACACATTAAACGTACAACAACATTAGCAGAACTTAAGAGACATTGCATTTCACACGTTAAAACTGTCTTTTGAACGGTTATCCAGTGATTTTTTTTTATGAATTGACAAATTATGTATCTTGACGAAGTTATTTTTAACGGATTATTTTGAATGGATAGCTGTCATAACGACTTTTTTAATAATTATTGTAGCACTGCAAAAACTATTTTGTTTGCCACGATGGTGGTGATGGATTTTTGATATTTGATTTAATAGTAACTACTATTTTTTAGTGGTCTACAAAGGTTTGAGCCTTGCGTGCGTATTACAGATATAGAGGACTGAATTTAACATTTGAAAACAAAAAATGCAATTTTGAAGCTTATTTGGAAGATACCTTGAGTTAGTAGTATGTTTTCTGGCAAATGTCGGGGATTCGTGAGCATTCCTGACATTGCTGAAAATTATGATAGCATCAGGTTGCAGGGTTGTTAGTGTAATAGGATACTTTGTTGATTGTTCATTAACTCTTGATTGCTTGTAATACTTACTAATATTTTAGGTGGACAAAAAGGCGTACTAAGACGTGGACGCCTAAGCTTTTTCACATTTATATCGCTGTGAAGCAACTGTAAACTCAAGAGGGAATTTATATCTGTAAATGTATACAGCTCGTTTTTTTTGCTAACCTGGTTAAAATTTTTACATTTAATTATCTTAAAGATAAATCGTCCAGCTCAAACCTTTGTAGGGGTAAGAGGTGGGACCATCATCATCATCACCATAAACAAGGCTAAAATATTTGAGAGAGCGCAAAAATCAAATTATCATAGCAAAACCATGTGAATATTACAATGCCAATCATTCGGGAAATTATGAACACATTTCTTTATACAGAATCTGATCCAGGTTCTCCGGAACTAATTTTAAACTAATGGTATTGACTGAAATATTCCACGGAGTGCAACATAACGAGCCCAAGTGAATATTACAATCCCAACATTTCAGCTGGTTACTGGGGTCAGTAAGCAACTGTCCAGTCGCGTCTTTCATAGGCATCTTTGGATTCATCCTTGCTCCAATCATACGTCGTAATATATCGCAGAGGTGAATATCGCCGGTTGTTGCGGCATACTCTCCTTCGTCGGTCAGGGAGTCCATCCACACTCGCTTGTGCCGTCTGCAATTGCGGTTTACTTGCTTCTATAGAGCTATAGAGTTGACAGGCTTCGTAATTGACTCCTCGGGTTCTCATCCGCTCTATCGCAGTTTTTGCTTCTCTACGCTCCACAATATTCTACCAGGTGTAATCCATGATCCACTCTTTTCGCTCACGTAATGTAATATTCACAATAGGAAATATAATTTCTATAGTGATTTGATGTGCCGCACTCTATGGCGCAGTCATTGGTCTGGAATGATTTACAGGGAACAACTTTTTCATACAAGCAATCATATGGAAAACGATTAATATCGACTTCCCCAAAGAGGCCATTGAATCACATCCCGAAAGGTGGCAGTAATCATCAGGGTCATATTATATTGGCATCGTAATAATATTCAATTGGATTTGCTGTGGTAATTTAACGTGTCACAACGCAAGTAGCACATTTCCATCTCGAAAAGTTGAAGCAGCCTGTTTATGACTGATACAAGTCGCATAGAAGTTGCCACTAACGATTCGTACTAGGGTATGGAGTATTTAAGTCATGACCATAAGTCCAAAATGACTTCCAGAGAACCTGTATCAGATCCAGATTTCTAGGAATATTTTAGCTAGGACCGGTTTTTTCCTCTGTTCGGGACCTAATAGCACTGCGACAAATAATTTGATCTATTGTAGCATATCCCGTGTCCTTAGTTTAGTGCATGTCCTATTACTCCATCACTATTGATTGAGAGATGATGAAGTATTCGATTTTTTTAAGACATTTTTGCATTTATCGCAAGGATCCGACTATAATTGAAAGGTCTCACTATTTATACACAGCAAAACATAAATTTTAACAATACATCCAAGAGGATGCACTTCAATCATGTCGAAAATCTCATGTATCAAAAAACAAATGCAGTAAAAGCAGCGTAATGTCAGTTTATGCACGGTATTAATGATAATTTTATCCTTTTTGGCTAGTAATATTACATCATATTTTTGACACGATTGAATTGCATTCACTTTGATGTGATATCAACATTATGTTTTTGCTGCGTACCCTTCGGAGTGTTGAAACACCCTCCAAAGCGCACCTTTGTCAGTCAAAATTGGATTCCTTAGCAACAAAATTAAACAATGACACCGATAATGACCATGAATCAGAACCCTAGTCTTAACCACTTCAAACTAGAGAACAACGAATAGAAGATTAGGAATCACATAGAAGAAGACTAATAACTCATTTTTTCCTTGTTTCAAGATCATCTTCGGTAGACAAAGCTGAGTCTTGTCACTATCAACATCAACAAGTAACACTGTAAAAAGTAACAAGGACTAAGATGTGTTCCTTTGATTACTGAAAAATCCTGTTCCCCTAATTTTAAGTAGTCAGGATTAGGAATCGGTGGTAGATCTAACATCTCGTAACGTACCACGAAAAGATGATCTACCCACGTTACAGGGCAGCTAGGACCGTTAGTTAATATTTACTTCCGGAGCACCACGGTCATATCCTGGATGGTGGCCACTGTCCTCAGATTTATATTTTGATTGCATTATAATATTCCCCTCGGTTGAACATGCATGAGTTTACGTACCACGCGATATAGTAGCTTCGAATATATAATTCCTAGGCATAATCCAGAATCTACGGAACCAGTTACTGGAGGCATTGGAACAGATGACATATGACAATGAAATTATCTGAAATAATCGTTCATGGCCATATCCTATGATTTGATATGCAGTATGATTCATTTGCCTCAAATATGACTATGGCCTAAAGAACTGGGTTTCAGGATCACAGGAACCGATGTCAATGTGGCCATGTCACAGGATTCATATCAAACTGTTTTCATTAGGCATATCTACTTTTTGTCGTGATTGGAACCACCACATGATATGGTTTTCATAAATATGATTATACCTTACCGTATCTATTGCGGAATCTATGAAATGGAATTCCAAAATCCCGGAACCGATGCCAACGTGACCAAATGCCACAAATAATCTTTATCGACCTTATCTTATCACGTTAACATGATTTGATATGCAACATGATTATTATACAGCGAATGTTACTGTGGGGTATAAAACCGGATTCCACGGATTTCCCGGAACCGAAGCCAATGTGCCCATATGTCATCATATACACTAAAACCTGATTTCATTGATCATAGCTTGTCATTTTGGCATAATATGATATCATAACCTCAATTTAATTATATTCCAACAAACCGTTCGCCAGAATTCACAGATCCTCGTTCCGGAAACGATGCCAAACTGGCCAAAATCATCTCAAATCATCTTCATTCACTTGATTCTACCTATTTGACATGATTTGACATGCCACAAGATACTTTTGCCTGAGATATTACTATGTCCTAAAGAACTGATTTCCTGGACTCCCGGAACCGATAATATAGTAGCCATACGTTATGGAAATATCTAAATTCAGTATTACTAATCATATTTCATCTATCTGATATCATTTTCTGCACGGTTGTCGGTTGTCTATCACGTGAAAATTTAAAACATTTGGCCAAACTGGTTAGAAAAGTACAAAAAAACACAGACATATTTACATATCCCAAGAACGAGGAGGGTTTTGATGGGGTGGTACCTACGACGAAAGTTGGTTAAACTATTCCCGTTAAATAAAAGTCCAAGTTTATGAAAATCGGATGAGGCATTGCTGAGAACGAGTTTGTTGATACAAATTTGTTCGTCCTGGTACTTTACGGGTTAATTCAAGTAATTAGAATTTTGCAATTATTTCAATATGCGCTTTTAAAATTGCATATTCAAATCTTTCCCTTTCAACATTGGCTCGATTAACATCACCCGGCGGACACTTGGATCCTGCATTCAATTTATTTGTTCTGTTTCTATTCACACTTTTCTTTATCAATGTTGATGTTATTCACAATACTTAAGACCGGACCCGGAAATTGAATTAATGTAGTGAATCTACGGACCCACGTTGACCGCAAGAAAAGACAAAAAAAGACAACTCCAGGGTAAGTGAGCGAGTTTTTGGCCCCAGTGGTCGTCTAATGAACAAAATCTTAAATTTTACATTTTGTCATGCTTTACGAAATTTATTTCGGTACCAAGTTAGAGCACATATTTTGCAATATATCTGCGCAAAAAGAACGATGAACATTTAGGAACGATTTAGGACCTAGGGCCAAAAACAGGAGCACTAGTACCATTGCTGGCACAATTACCGTTTATAAAAAAAACATACTCACATGTTTGCATTCTATCTCTTTTCTTAGCTTTACAGTGTTCCATCTGCATTTGGTTTCTAAGGAAGAAATCTCCGTTTTTAATGTTTCAATATCCCTTAGACAATGAATATGCTCTTGACACTAAAAAGATTATTAACAGTTATGCTAACAGTAATACAAATGATACATTTAAATACCTTTACATCCAATGCGGCATTGATACGCATTTTTTCGTCTTTTGCAGCTTTGACTCTGTTGTTCAGTGTGTCACATTCCTTCAATATCTTTTTCTCTCGTTTTTCAGCTTGTTCTAATTGACTTTTTAAATCAATTACATTTTTTTCTACAATCGCAAATCTCATTACAATACTTTCCTTATCTCGTACTGCCGACAACTGCTCTTTTTGAAGCTGAAAAAAAGTTATAGTAGTTATAGTAGTATTCAATATTTATGTACATATTATCAAAAAGACTTTGATTTGCGGCGTTGGGTTATATGCGCAATTTATGTCATGGCCAATTAAACAGGAGGATTAATGGCTGGCTAGTCACATGCACTACATAGACTACATAATCACCATAGAAAGGGATAAGGATACTGGTGGGTAGCAATGAAAATAACGTAAAAATAACTTGAATTTTTCTTAGAAAGAATTGCAACACTATGAACCAGTAATTTCCATTGATAATAAAATTTAATAAATTTAAAAATCCGTACGAGGTAAGTTGTAGAACGCACAAAAAGGAAGTAAGCCGCTTAAGAATATAGCAAAACATTAAAAAAAATAGAACCGGGACTTCGAGTATCCGGATATTTTTATTTTTCAATGTTATTAAATTTTGGCGATCTGTCATTCCACATCAGGTCACACGGGCAACCTAGAACCAACTTTGTTCCAAATATTTAGAACAGTAAAAAAGAAAATTGTGAAAGGGAGAATAAACTTAAATTTTCACTATCCGGATATCCGGATAGTTACTATCCGCATGATAACCATCTCAACGTTTTCTCAATTAATTTTATTTCAATATTGGGCACTAGAAAGCATGATATTCTATAAAATCAATTCATCGATATTTAATTTGTCGGAAAGTAATTCTATTGAAAAAAACTGAAGTATCCGGATAGTTGAAGTCCCAGCTCTAATATAAAACCGTAAATTGCGGTTGCGTGCACTTCGAATTCCGCGGCACTAGCTCGAAACGATTATGCCTCTTGATTATTACACTCTTAACGAATACATTAGAAGGGGCTGCCGTATTTATCATAAGGTAATTTGCATAAGATTTTTTAACAAAGAGCCGTTAGGTATAATGATCAATTGGCATAAAATACACATAAAAATTAAAGGGTTTTGTCCTAGACACAAGCACAGTATGACGTAGAACTATGCCAAATTAATGTATGTCATACATTTTTGACTATTATACTTTATTTTCAAATTTTCAAGTATTTCAATGTTTCGATTATGGTTCAAAACTCGCGATAATTCATGTTAGCATAATCAGACCACCGTTCATATTACGCATGAGATAATGTATTTAAATGTAATGTAAGAGATGAAACAGCCTCTGGCTGAAAGTCTCGCTAATAAAGATAACCTAACCTAACCTAAATGTAATGTTAAGAATTGACAGAATATTCCCTACATAACTACACTGCCTATAATCCCATATGAAAAAGTAGGCATTGAGAAATTGGAAGTTGAAGTTAAAAAGTGCAATTTCCATGAAAATATTAAAAAAAAATCATAGTAAATTAAAACAGCAAAAAAGGTTATCTTCCATTTAATTCCACTTAATTAATTTTGGTATCCATGACAGATACGTATTTCGACTACAATGTGCAGTCTTCATCAGTGTCATTCCCACTAAAGAACTTTTTTGCTGTTTTATTTAGCATTCCGCTAACAACCCAATTTCATTACTTCATTATGATGGCTACCAAGCCTTTAGGGATTTTCCTTATTAGAGAGTTGTATAGATTTTTCTCCTTTAGCTTACTTAAATCTTTGGTTTTTATTAGTTAGGTAGGTTCCGATTCAACACATTGTAGTTTCATTTTTATACCTATGATCTTGACTTTTTTACCTAGGGGATGAGTACTTAAGGGGGTTAGATTTTGATAAGTTCTTTAGTGGGAATGACACTGATGAAGACTGCACATTGTAGTCGAAATACGTATCTGTCATGGATACCAAAATTAATTAAGTGGAATTAAATGGAAGATAACCTTTTTTGCTGTTTTATTTAGCATTCCGCTAACAACCCAATTTCATTACTTCATAGTAAATTAATCGATAATTTTGTCAAGTTAAAATCAGTAGCAATGCAGCTTGCATGGTTTGTTATATCAGTGAAAAATAAGGCGATTAAAAAAGCAGAACTGTAACTTAGCGTCTGGACTATATAATTTCAGGATGGGACTGATATGCGATTACTTTGCTTGATGGGACAAACTGACTTGATGTTGTTTTCACATTTTTCATTATTTAAGTCCGTAGTTTTATCTCGTAATATGTAAGTAGATGCCAATTGTTAGTGGATAGCGTTATCTTAAAATTGACGAAAATCCATATGGGACTGATATGGGACTATAGGCAGTTAGGTTATTAGGTTGATCAATGTTGAGCTATTTTGCTGTGATCAATGTGCACTAAATTCGACATCGACATGGACTGCAACAGGAACTGACACTATATGTCGTCACACATTTTTTGTTGATTTGCACCTCAGTAACGCCATGCATGTTGTGGTTTATAACAATTCGCAAAAATACATTATTTTTTTTCAGTAGCTCCATCATAAGTTTTGAATTAGGTCTCTGAAGCAGAGAAGAGAGTGAAGGTTGAATTTTATGATAACGCAACAGGCAGTTGTTTTCCCTATCAGAAGACGGAACTTTCAATAAGGTTTTCCACGAGACAGTTGCGATCAGCTGACTTTTTTGATTACCAAGAATTTTTGACAGATCACAGTAGAACTGGCAGTTTATTCTCATATGAATTTCTGCTTTGTTTATGTTTACATTCAGCACCATTAACACCAGATCACTCACACACTCTTGGTTTCTAGCTGTCAGTTCCACTGAGAAACGTCTCTTGGATCACCTTATATAAGAGAGATGAGAGAGAATAAGCTGGCAGTTCTACTGTGATCTGTCAAAAGTTGTTGGTAAACTAAAAAGTCAGCTGATCGCAACTGTCTCGTGGACAGCCTTATTGAACAAAATGTTGGTTCAAATGTCAGCGAAGTAGGGGAGAAAGGGGTATAAGGATTATACTATGTATGTATGATTCCGAGCTTTCGGTACCTGATGTACTTTCGATTTCCAGCTCCCGTAAAAATATTGGTTATTGGTTATTGCTCCTCGAATGGTCTCAGGATCTACTACCAAAACGTGCGCGGGCTGAGGACTTTAATCGACTCGTTTTTCCTGGTTGTTGGAGAGGCCGAATATGATTTGATTGTGCTGATAAAAACGTGGCTGGACGACCGAATTTACTCATCGCAACTTTTCGGGTCATTTTATTCCGTCTTCAGAACTGACCGGTTTTCCCTAAACAGTCAAAAATCACGCGTCGGCAGAGCCCTGATTGCAGTATCAACGAAACTAGCCAGCTACGTAAGTACGTCACCTATTTCCAGCCAACTGGAACAGAAGGAAAAGAATCTACCAATCTACCTGCCCACCGACCGCAAAAACGACTGCACGATCATTCGTGAGCATGTGGAATCGTTAGGCTCGATTTCTTCTCAATTAAAACTGCTCTCCCGCGTATTTGGCGACTACAATCAAGCTGGTTTGCAGTGGCGCTTTACAGACAGTGGCACACCATTAATTGATCAACTGCGTTCGCATATGCCGGTTGCTTGCTGTGCTCTTTTGGACGGTTTTAACTTTTACGGGTTCACAGAAGCGAATACGTTTCCGAACCGAAATGGAAGTTTGCTAGATTTGCTTGTCCTGAAAAATGATTCCGCATTACTGTGAACCTTCGCACGAGTCCGAAAAGTTTTTGGTCGTTTGTCAACTCCAAACGGAAGGAATCCGGGTTGCCTTGTTCCATGTTGTTAGGGAATTACTCGGCTAATAGCGAAAGAGAAAAAGACGACTTGTTTGCTCGTCATTTAAGGCAAGTGTTCCACGATTTCTCCGCTTCGCCGGCACAAGTGCTGGATGCTACTGTTGGGATGCCACGTGATGTGTTTATTTTTGATATTCCGCGCATTTCAGAAGTCATGGTGATAGCCGCAATACGCTAAATGAAGCTTTCGTTCGCCGCCAGACCTGACGGCATTCCGTCATCAGTTAGTTCTAAAACGTTGTGTAGCCAATATCTGCCTTCCACTTATGAGGCTATTCAATCTTTCGGCACAGCAATAGCCAACACGAGCCAATTCGAGCAATTAACCGGCAATTCAACAACTTCTTTTATATGTTCGACTTCAATGTATTAGCTGACGTGTTTCGTCATCGGTTACTTGGCCTTTTCCGTTGACCGTAACTATTTAGTTTAAGTTTTATTCATTCAGACAAAAATTGTCAGAGTTGGTTGTAAATGCTAACATGAAGCTTTAGTGTGATAATGTATTAGCTAGAGAATGATCTTTAGAAGATAATAGGTGGATAGTTCCGTTAGTGTACGGCAGTATGAAAATTGAATAGAAGTTGAAAATGATCGACAGTATAAATTCAAACGCACATCTTTTGCCTAACCCGTACGATGTACGCGGAGACTTGAAGTATGTCTTCAAGTCTACAGGTAAAAGATGTGCGTCCTCCTTTTGCTAATTACTGACTGCAGCTGTGGAATAGTTCTAGCGACGTTTCATCACTACCTAAAGCCCCACGTTACGAGAGCATTTCCTGTCGATGGTGTATTATAATGCAATTCTTCTTTACCCAACTATTGTGTTGCTCCTCTCGTCATGACCAACTTGGTCATCTCAGAAAAAAAGCAGTAGAGTGGTTGTTGCGTGTTGTACCATCATCAGCATTGTTGACGGCTACTCCCGCCTTGAGTAGTTACATTCAAAGTGTTTTTATGTTACTTCATACGCGAAGTTGGCGATTTTCAGAGTTGGTTGGAAATGCTAACATGAAGCTTAAGTGTGATAATTTATTAGCTAGGGAATGATCTTAAGAAGATAATAGGTGGATAGTTCCGTTAGTGTACGGCAGTATGAAAATTGAATAGAAGTTGAAAATGATCGACAGTATAAATTCAAACGTACATCTTTTGCCAACCCGTACGATGTTCGCGGAGACTTGAACCATTTCATCAAGTCTACAGGCAAAAGATGTGCGTCCTCCATTTGCTCATTACTGACTGCGGCTGTGGAATAGTTCTAGATGTGCGTTTGAATTTATACTGTCGCATTAATGGCCCTTCGCTCATTTTCAACT